CACAAGAAACTGAGGTAACAAAAAAGTAGCTCAAGAAAAGCCCAGATTTGCTGAGGCAGGACCCATCCATCTCACATTGCCCAGCTGCTATTTCTATTACTTAGAAATATTACTTCTGGGAAGACCAGCCTTATTTAGGGCTGCTAACCCACTGCTAGAGCTCCCAGTCACCATTGCACACACCTTCTCTGTACCCCGCACAGGAAAAAACATGTTTTAAGCAAGGTTTAAATCCCTGCCTGGCAGGTGGGCTATAGTTATTCCACTCAGCAATACTGAAGCAGATTGAAGAGAGAAGAGTTGAACAAGATATAAATTCACCCTCTTCACTTCTGCTGATTTACCCTCACTTAGCACATTTTCCATTGTTGTGCTTCCCGCGCGACCATGTCTGCATCCTCCACTATCCTGTCATTTGAGTATCTATTCACAGACCTCAGTGACCTGACTTCACCCTCGGCTTTTTGTTGGGCTGCCTCTGTAAACTAACCGTTTCTAAAAACAGATGAAGAAACAGCTTTGGGGGGAAAAAAAAGACCCATTCATCTTTTAGTCAGGGCACTGCCAAGTTCCCACTGCACCCAAAGCAGCCTCTTCTGCCACACGTTAGTGCGTGCAAGATATGCACAATATTGCGTGCCCACAAGCTGGGCTTTTTCTCCAAGTGTATAAAACACATTACAGATACACAGGCAACGACTGATGCCTTGGCTAACACAGAGGGCTGACCTACCAAGAAATCTTAGTTTGACTAAGGCTGTGGGGACTTTCTAAAGAGAAGAAGCACAGAAAGCAGCTTGCAGCATCTTCATCAGTGCTAAACACATGCTTGCAATCAGTTTGTGTAGCAAGCACACTTCCACACAAAAGATTTTTCAAATACACACAAGGCTTTGTCAGAAGGACTGTTACATTTCTTTTCAGGCAGTTCCTAAAAACGCAAACAAATCCCAGATTGCAAACCTGCTAAGTTCCCTACGAAGCCCTCTATTCGCCTTGAGGAAAACAGGGACTTTTGTTGTGATCCTGAGGATAAACATCAGGATATCTCCAAGCCAGTTGTGCAATGACATTTCTGGGAAGCTTGTGCTGCCCTTAACCAAAATACCCTTCTGAAGCGTGCACAAACAGCCCACAGAAAGACCACGAATTCTGCATGGAGGAGGCAAGGTCTAGGGTGGGCACAAAAGAAAATACCAGTTGCTTTCAATGCGAAAGGCAGAAAAGTTGTGTGCCTGCCTCCCCCCCTGCCCCTGGCTCTATTTCCCATAAGACAAATTCATCTTCAGAATTTCAACTCTGGTTTGGCATGCTGCTCTCCCTCACTCTGGAAGGTTACCTTTTTTTATCCTTTTCTTCCTCGTCATAAAATGGAAAAACCAAAAAGGGTAAAAATAACTCCCAAAATAAACATTTTTTTTTTCAAGACGCTAAAAATCCAAAACTATTCCACATAGAACAAAGCACTACTAGAGAAAAACAGGCCATTTCTCATCAAATGACAGAAAATATTTGATTCAAACCATCACTGGCTGTAGAAGAATTTTAGTGTCTCACAAGGAGTGTTAACCCTGATATCGTGCCAGATAGCAACTCATTTGATTACATCTAGCTCCTTTGAAATCTCCCTGGAGCACCAAATGGCTACACTGCTCTTCTTTGCTCCCTTTCCTTAAGTATTCTTACAGTAGTTTTCTATTAAAGAGCTCTTTGCCCTGTCCTAGAACTAAATTCACACTATGCTGGAACAGGATGAATTTTGAATAGTTATGTTTTGTTGACTGCTGTTGGAGTTTGGGAGAAATTCGTTGTCAATTATCAATTATATGAAGCTGTCTTTGGGAGAATAATCTTTTGAGCTAAATACATCAAGATGTTACTTGCATTCTTTCAGCATCCAATGACACAAAGAAGGTGAAATCTACACAGCAAAAATCACACACAAAACCTCTTTTCACAGCTACAGATTCTTCTTTTTGTTCTCCACTCCTAAGCCAAGGCTTTATTTTTTGGTCAACTGCTGTTTATGGGTCAAAATCTTTGTCCCACCAAGCTTCTAAGTACACCATGAAACAAGCAGGCAAATGCCTGGAGGCATGAGAAAACTAGGAAATAGCACGTATATTATATACTGTTAATTATCACTGAAAAAAATCTGGGAGATCAGCAGAAATATAAGATCCACGAGCCTAGTTCCAGGAAGAAGTATTCCATTAAAGTGGAAAATGTCACCTGGAGTGCCTTTTTTTTTTTTTCTTAAAATAATACCGCAGTGATTGTTGGCTTTGCTGGAGTGTAGCATTGCAAGGGTTTGAGGAGACGGATCTCGATGAGATGCGATAGGGCACACACCGCAGGTTGCCTCTTCTCTTAGAGCAGACGAGGCCAGAGTCGGTAGCACACTAGAGCCCCGGGCTGACCTACCACTGCTGAACACTGCAGAGCTGCCTCCATATCATCACAGATTTTCAAGCTAGAAGTCTGGTGGATACCTAGGCAAATGCACGCTGTCAGACCCAATTGCTCATGCCAACAGGCACTGGAAGGATCTGCACCATAACCTTTTTCCCAGTGCAGTGAGACAATCGGAGTCCTGGTGTTGAATGCAGCAACTGCACACCCCTGGGACAGGGCTGTGAGAGAGTCGCTGGCCTCAGAGCTTAGAGGGCAGAGCTTGGCTACACCAGCACAAACGATATTTTTCCTATTACAGCTGCACCCACTCAAGCAACATCAGCCCTCTCACACAGTGACTCTAATGCACTGAATGCATCTTTGTCAAACAGTCATCAGCCAGACTGCGTGTGCGCTGTCGTGAGCGACCCCTAACACTAACGTAAGCGCTCACTGCAAACAGCACGACACCAGAAAGCTGTATGACTGATTTGGCTTGGCACATCTACTCTGCCAATCATTGTGCCATCATTGGCACTCCTCTAACTTATTACTACAAAAAAAAAAAATCAATCAGACTTTCTCTAGGTAGAAAATGAGACTCCCTGGCCTCCTTGTTTTCAGGACAATCTAGGAACAGGGAACCACAATGCTTCCTTACTTCTCCCTGGGCCATCTTTCTGATACTGGTGAATGAAGCTAGACAGAGCAGACAGATAAAATTCTCTTAACAAGGCAGGTGAACCATGGGCAAGACAAGCGGCTGTTCAACGACTAAGGTAGTACCAGGAAACAACATTCCAGGTTCTTCTGGGAGCCCCTCACCAGGGCCTGGACAATTCCCCTGCAGCAAGGCCAAGAAACAGAGGCTGAGAAACTCAACTCCTGGGTGAAGGCAGGAACTGCTGAGGGCAGGGACCATCTTTTGGTTTGTTACAGCATAGTGGAGATGTCTCAACGCCAAAGACAAAAGAATTCCACAATACATTTTCTAGCTAAAAGTGGCACTAGTCATGCAAAGTTAAGTTGTCATTACATTACAGTCAAAAGCACCTTTTCTGAAGCAACAGCTTATTCCTTCTGCTCCAAGCCTTCAACACATGAGAATATTCAGCAGGGTCACGGATCAAAGACCACAGTTCCCATTTGTCTCCATCAGCAAGGCAAGCAACCTACCTTTCTGTCTCCTAATTTCCCCAGGGACACTTTTCTGGACATTTCTGCAGGGCTAACCAGCCCCTGGCTGAGACCTAACGGTTCTTCCTAACCTTGCTGTTTTGTCTTATCTCCTGTAGTCTTCTTTAAACACTGTCTCAACCACATTGAGACACCAATGACCAAAGCAGATGTGCAAGGGGCACAAACTGCTGCCTGCGCTCCCCCCTGCAGATTCTGCAGCATGGCCAAGCCCCCTGTCACATTCCTACAGACGAAACCTTTGCTAACAAAAAACAGAGCAAAAAGCTTTTCTACAATTTATCCAGCAGCTCTACAAATGCCTCCTGTCTTTTGGATACCTGGAATTCTGGCTAGTCCATGTTCCACAGATGAGACTTAAGGAACAGGGCCATCCGCTGCAACATTTCTTTATAGCTGTCTGAAACCTCCTCTTTACCTGTCCTCAGCCACACCAGTCCACCACTCTGTAGGGCTAAACTCCTCCCAGGAAATCAAAGACCAGTCCACTTTTTCACACCTGTGCCCAGGTTCCTGGAGTACAGGAGGACCCAGGAATCGCAGCCTTTGCCCAGCAACAACAGATTTCAAAGCTGTCTGCCTGTCAGCACGATCTGGTGAGCAGAACGGAGACAGAAGCTCACTCATCACAACACGCTGCCTCTGGAGATGCAGAAATCCGGGCGGCTTCCGAGTCTTGTCTTGTAGGAAAGCCCCCTCAAAGACCTCAGGGCTGCAAACTCTCTTCTCCATAGGCTAAGGCTTTAACAGCTCTCTCCAGCCCCTCTGCCTTCACTCGCCTGTAATGCCTCCTTTCCTGTTCTCCGCTACTCTCCAGTGCAACAGCCAACCTCTACCTCTTTTCTTTCCCTTCTTTCAGCAGCCCTCTTCCCTTTTCTTGCCTTCCTCCTTTATCGCCCTTCTCCCATCCTTTCCCCCCAACTCCTCCCTCTCACACTTCAACACATCTGTTTCTAATCTTGGGCATCAACTGGAAACAATAGCCTCTTTTTATTTTAAAATCTGAATACTAAATGCCGAAGCAAATCAAAACAGACCTAAACGAATTTGACACTCTGCCCAAAACAAAGGCATTTTGTTCACCTTGTTTTGCCAGAGGTTCAAGCCCCTTGCTAGTTCATTGCTTAAAAAGCTCTGCCCCCTCTTAAACATACGTTCCAAAAGAAGTCTGTTTAACCACCACTTCTAAAAAATTAAACCAGATATTAAAAGATCTCTAGCTATCAACCTGCAATTAAAGCGACAAGAAAAGTATCAGAACCCAAACAACACTGAAAATGGAGTTTTCCATAAAAGTTTTTTCTTCACAAATCCCTTTCTCTAGCTCATCATAAACGAATTTCCGTCATGCAGAGAGGGTGCGTGGAAGTTTGATTAAAAACCCTAAACAAATCAAAACACCAACTTACCTAAAAAGAGAATTGAAAGTGCAGACATTCCGTCTCCAAGCAAGAGGGACTTTTCCTCCCGTTTTCTTCCTTTCTCCCAGTAACAGCAGGCAGACCTGCACAGGATTCAAAGGAACGCCTCTGGAATGCACTGAGTGTAATTGCATCCATGTGCCAGAAAAATAACCAACTTCACTCTTTCTTCCCTTCTGCTATTCATCTCCTCATCCATAGTCCACACAGATTCAGCAAGAGGTTTTATATCTCTGCAGCTGGTAATTCAGGCCCTTGAGTTACTGGAAAAGAGGAGACAGAGGCAGCGCAGCAAGGAGTTCGCATCTACGGCAGCACAGAACAATTTTGCTTGTCTGAAAAGGAGAGAAGCAGGGGAAAACACTGTGCTCAACGTTCACCACATGGCTGCCTCCCAGAAGAGCCCCTCCCTACCATCAGCTGGGATTAATAGTGAAGACCAGTCATGTGGGTGAGGTAGAGCTAATTTCTAGCAGTAATATATATATATTTTTACCTTTGAAGGAGAAACAAGAGGATTTCTCTAGTGTCAAAACAGTTAAGTTCACAGGCAGGAAAAAATCCAGCATGGAAAAAAAATCAGATTCATCACTCAAGGGCTAAAGAGTGAGTCTCGGAAAAAAGCACACATGCTTTTTTAGAATGATAAACACTCATATGTAATACATTATCTTCATTCTCTTTTGTAGCTAGTAAAGTGCAGAATTCAAGCTTTTAATCTTACTGAAATACTTTCTCTGTTTGCTTAATGGTTTTCTTTTCAAGTTTCTGGGTGACAAAAACAATTCCTAAAAATTGTTTGCATTTGCATTTTATCTGTGCTTCACTACTGAGACAAAAAGCCAAATCAAGCAGAAATTGCTTGTCTGCATTTAGTAACTGCTATGGGATGCAACTTACAACTTACTCCCAAAGGCCATTTTAGGGCAGCCAGAGACCTCTATAGTCCATCTTCAGCTGCAGTCAGCAAGTTTTAACAACTAGCTCAGATACTTCGTTCCATTTCTGCCATCACAGCAGCGAAGACAAACCTCTCATTTTCTGTAAGAAGGATCAAACGTGGTAGGGAGTTCACAGATGACAGCTTTGACTATCTACTGAGCTGAACGGGCCAGAGCAGAACTTTATTTATTCTTCAGTAAAGCATGTCTAAATCTTGCTGCTCACAGCAAGGCAATGGGATCACTGATGTTTTACATGTGTGCATATACACAGCTGCTCTGATCTATTGCCCTTTACACAGACACAGGTCATGCTTACACTTTTATAGCCATATGCCCTAGGATATATCTGCTTTTCAGAAAGAGAAAGCACTTCCAGTTAGATTTTAGAAGACACCCAAAACCCAACAGTGGCTGTGAAAACCATTCAAGAAACTGAGTAAGCATCTGTGTGGCTGTCCTGTGCTGATCCAGCTGCTGCCCACAGTTACACACCAGGACCCCAGCTACTTAATTTAAATCTGTTAAGGTGCATCTACATAAGCAGCAACTGCATATTTTTCTAAAAAAACCAAGCATACTCTAAGATAATAAGCATACACAGCTGACTGCAAATCAAACTGATTTACTCATCTTCTGCAACTTGGAGTCAGAAGGAAAACTCTGAAAGACAGAACAAAAATCCTTTCCAAGGAACACTTACGAAAGTATTTCTAAGAGCAAGAGCACCCCATACACAAGGCTGCCAGCCTGTGGTTGGAAACCTGCAGTTTCAAGCTCTCCCAGCTCCCTGTGTAACCCCATCTACACAGAGTTTCTACGTGTCTTCCTTGTAAAATCAGGGATAGTAAACAGTTCTCCCTCTTCAGGGATGAAGCAAATACAGCAATCTTTACTAAGTCCACAAGAAGGGGCACTATGCTTACAAGCCCTACAGGAATTTAGTACTTTAGCTCTTCATTATAGCACAGGCTTTTCTAGTATTAGCTGGAAAACAAGAAATGCTGTTCCCCTGTACAAAATCAGATCCTAGATTCAGAGGGAAATGTGGATAAAAATTATCATTCCGCATCCTGTTTTACAGAAGTTTCATTGTCCCTCCCAGACTCAGATGGAAACAAAAGCAATATTTGGCTCCTCCTCTCCAGAACAGCTGTTCTCTAAGAGCAAATGTTTAAAACAGTATATTCAACATAAACTGATGATACAATCTTTACGAGGTGAATATAACAGCTCCTACAGAGCAGCTGCATCTACCCCATCTACCCATTTCTTAAGAGTCCATTCCTTCAGAACTTTCCCCACACACTTGACCAAACAGGCTGCTGGTTTTCAAACAGTTGAGTGGATCCGAGAGAACATCATTGATTTTCAGTGCAGGACATAAATCAATGGAGAAAAGTGCATTTAAGCCCTTCCCCCGCTCTCTAGAAGCCAAGCAGCACTGAGCTTGTCTCTCTGCATTATGAGTCTGACAGAAGATGACCCAAGCTCTGCTGTAAATGCCCAGCATGCTGCTTTGCTTTAATAGAATCAATGCATCAGAAGCCAAGAAAGAGAGAAGTGTTGTCACCCCACACTCTCTGCCCAGCCTCCACTGAAATCTCTGGTGCTGGGATGTTTGAGATATACACAGAGAAGGAGGGGGTAGTGGAGAGTGGCAGAGGAGGCCACGCATGCAAAATTTCCTCTTCATCACCTCACATAAGCCATTCCACAGCCTGTTCTCACATTACACTTCAGCAAGCTCCTCAAAAGCAAGTTGTGCTTTGGGGTTCACTGGGGTTTCTCCCTCTGGCGTTCATACCCGTTATGGCAAGGGCATCTCACTTGGGTAACAGCTCCAGGGAGCAGCCAGTAAGGGCAGGTGTAAGTGCATCTAAGGACACCCATGCCACTAAAACCAGCACAGCCTCTCAAGACCTTTGCAGGCTGTGTTTAGGGGAATAGGTCCTATCTGCAGCATATTTACTTGTCCAGAAGGAGCAAATTCTTCTAATAGGCTCGTGAATGCTTTCACCTCTTAGTAAACATCACTAGCACAGCAAGAGAGATACTTAGCATGCGCTTCTCAGCAGGCAGACTAGTGAAGGAGAAGCTCTCTTAAACCTGCATAGCCCAACAGCCTGCCCAGCATTTGTTTGCAACTAAAGCACACAGGGGGAAATCCTTTCTAGAGATTTCTGTTTCTTCCTGTATCAGGTTATTCCCTTCACTCTGCTCTTCCTCCTCCAGGGAAATAGGTTCCCAAGACATAGCTGCCCACCACTGCTGCAGAGCTGCACATGTTTTCTCAACACTAAACATTGCTGCATATGCCCAGCAACAGTTGCTCTAACACCTCATCACCCAAAACGTACCCAGACAACGTATTTTCTTCTAGAACTTGTGTTACACAGCAGTAATGCAGACTGTTGCTACTCAGTCACCCTCTTGTGTTAATCCTTTATCAAGTCCATTCTCCAAGACTCCCAATACAAACTTACCTCAGGCAGTGTAAATTATTTAAACATCTTATTGATACATACAGTGGAAGAGGGTCCATCTAACCAGGAAAGCCAGAGAAACACTTTGAAGCTCTTGAGCAAAACCATGTTCAGTTCAGCTTTTGCTTTGCCACTGAAAAAAAGCTCAAAAAATACTTTGACAAAGGAAGAACAAACCACAGAAACAAAGCAGTCTCTGAACAAGAAAACTCAAAACAAGACAAAAAAACCCCATTAGGATAGAAAAAGAAAAACCCTTCACACAGATTTCTTTTCACAATAAGCCCCCAGTGGAAAGATTGCTCACATTACACCAGTACCCAGATATTGACTTTTAAACCAGTTGTTTAAAAAACCCACTTATTTCTCACATAGGCTTTAATAATTCATTCTCAGAGCACTATAAGTTATCTAGTATTAGTAAAAAGTTTCACTTCAAGCTTTATACTTAGAGCATCAGTAATTATATTTCCAGGGGGAAAAAACCCAGCCAACCAACCAAAGAAATTCTTAAAGCATTAGCTAGTTTGAAGTGTCTCAGCCTACACAGCTTGTTAATGCAACATTTATTTTAATGTTTTACAGGAAAACACCCTTACTGCTTTTTGGAATAGTCTTATTTTTTAAGACTGCAACTATATTCTGCATTTACACCCTGAGTAATAAAAAGTAGAGAGAGCCTCATACATACTACCACAGCTTTTAATCTTTATTAACTTTATGTTATTGATCAACTCAGAAGAAAGTGAGTAAAATAATCTATTTACATTACACTATTGACTTTATAGTAGAAAACAAGCCAGGCCAAAGTTTACAGTTACATTCTTAAGAAAGCTAAAAACTTTCTAGTGTTTTTACAATACAAGGCTTTTGCTTTGTAAGCAAAGCCCCAACAATTTTATCAATAAAAAGATCCTATTTCCTCAACTAAAACATTACCAGCTAAACAAACAAAACACAGAAAGCATTATAGGAAAACAACTTCTTACCTTTAAAGGCAGTCCCCTTCTAGCAAGCTCCCCAAAAAGTTCTCATCTCTGAATGCTGGATTTTATTCTGTTTTCCCTGAAAAACCTGCCAATGAAACACCATGCCTTAATTTGCCAGCTGTGAGGTTGGCTAATTGGCAAGGACAGCTTCTCTATAAACCACAGGTGTGGAGCATCTGAGATTAAACTGGGAGGGTCAGAACGGTAGTTAAAAAGCAGGACAGAAGGGTAGGTGCTCTCTGAGGTAGAGGAGTTGCAACGAGCAAGGAGTTAATGGTGAGCAGGGAGGTTTTATTTTAGCTTTTTACTTTATTTTTCAGTCCCTGCATAATAGTAGTAGAAGATGGAGGAAAAGCTGGAGAAGTTAGCTGGGAAGAAGTATGTATATAGACAAAAGAAGAAGCTGAGAAAAGCAAGAGAAGTTGTTTTCTGCTTTTGCTATAAGGTAAGCAAAACCTATGTGGCTTTTTTTTTTTTTTTAGATAATTGAAGCATAACTTCAAATTTTCATATGTTGAGGAATGGTTTGTGCATTTGAATGTAGTTTTACTGTGAGATATATGAGGAAAAGTTAAAAAAAATTAATGAGGTTGCTAGGTATTACTCTGCCTGAACTGTAGCTTGGGGAGCTTTGGGTGCCTAGTGTTTTCTCTAGAAGTGCTTGTGACTCCTGAGCATTTCTTTAGTTCTGGTGGTACTTTTTATGTTGGTCTAGCTTTCTGTTGAAGCTTTTACACTGTTGAAGCTGTTAAGGAAGGATACATGTGCAATTCTTACTGGGTATAAATTACTTTTCCCAACATGTAGCTGTTATTCAGTAGAAGTAGCCTTGTCACTGGACTATTATGGAATATTCAGCATGTCAGCCCTTTACATTTATTATTTTCCTTTTTATTCTATACTTTTATTATATTTTGTGTTAGATGCTGACATAATATCTAGCAATAGGGAGTCTG